ACCCACACCCCCCCCCCCACCCTCCACCCACTCGCCCCTCCACCCCCTGCACCACCACCCACCTCACTCACCTCCCCAACCCCAACCCCAACCCCAACCCCACCCCCACCCCCACCCCTCCACAACGCCATGGACAACATCCACGTGCTGGAACCGTCCACGGAGCGCCTGCTGGACCTCCTCGAGCTGTACTCAGACGGCGCAGTGTCGTACCCTCGCTCAGCGTCGCTCGCCACCCGTGCCCTGCCCGACGACACCACTGCTGTGCCGACGGGGTTCTCCATCGATCACGCCCACGATGTGGCGGGGAGAGGCCGCGAGGCATATGCTCGGGCCAAGGCTGCACTCTCTTCGCTCCGCCAGTTTGAGCTCGGCTGGAGCAAGGCTCAGGCGCTCGGCGAGGCTCTGGACATGACCGTGGCCATCGCTGTTCGCATCCTCGGTACCTGGGCTGTTGGCGTCACCCGGGTTGTCCACCTCGGCGAAGAGATCGACGACAACTCGGGTGCGCATGTCTTTGACATTGTCATGGCCACTCTCGACATGCACATGCTCTCGGGCGAGGAGCGGTTCTCTGTGGCATGGGATGGCTCGGACGACGGCGACGTCATCGTCGCCCTCGACTCCTTCTCCCGTCCGGCAGGCATGCTCGCTACCCTCGGCTGGCCTGTCGGCCGCCTCTATCAGTCCATGTTTGGCACGGCGGCTGTTGCGCGCATCGCCGCCATTGTCAAAGGCACAGAGCCCGACTCCCCGCCGTCGCCATCTACGATGTTTAGATCGCAAGATCAGCTGTCGATCGACGCTCAGCTCATCGAGGTCAACAACCCGTTACGGTCGCCGCCGACGCGCTGTCAAGCCTGTCGCGCTACCGGCTGCCGTACCGCGGCCCCGCTTTCGGGACGTGCCACGAAGCCGCGAGCCCGTCGCGGATCCGCTCGCTGTGCTTGTCGACGTCGACTTGCCGCTCGGCCGAGTTCGCGAACTGGATGCCGACGACGCGCGCTCGCGGCGATTGCTGGCGCCGGAGCTGCCGCTGGAGCCGCCTTTGTTGCTCTTGCTTGCCGTCGCCCGACCGCTTGTCCGCGGCGTCCGCGCAAAAGTCGAGGTTGATGAACCGCGCGCGCTTGACCGGCTCCGCGGCTCGGCCCGCCGGCGCAGCCCGGTGTCGATCCGAGCCTTGGCCCGCGTCGGCGCGCTGGACCGGTGCCCGCGGGCCGACGACCCAGGCCCAGAACTAGCGTTTGGGCCCGAGACTAGCGACGAGCTGCCGCTGCCGATACCGCTCCGCCGCATTGATGCCGACCCGCGTCCGCGGACACGGCCGCTGGTCCCACTCCGCCGGCCGCTGGGCGGCGGCGCCGACGCCACGGCATGGAGCGACGACGTCGATGTCGAGGCCTTGCTCGACATCGACGACATGCCCGGGAGCGTCAGCGACGACGCCGAGAGCGAGAGCTGAATGCCTGCCGAGTCGCACTGCCGCTGCCGCTCGGCAGCAGCCTCTTCAAGAAGCTCGCCTCGCTCAATGTCAGCAGTTTCGTCTCCTCCTCGGCCTTGCGCTGGTCCTGCAGATCGTCCTCAAACTGCGGCGTGACCGAGTGTCTCACGGCCGGCACCAACTTGATCCGTGCCAGCTCTGCGCTCGCCGCCCGTCCAGCCGCCGCCACCGATGGCAGCGGGTCTGACGCGTACGCCGCGGCAATGTCCTCCAGCTTCTTCAGCAGGTATGTGTCTAGCGGGAGCGAGAGCATTCGCTTGATGTGGACCAGCTGTGCCGCCGCACGCAGCCGAACATTGGCCACGTTGTCGTTGGCCACGTCCAGGAACGACTGCAGAAACTTGTCCTTGACAAACGCGCGCGAGCATGTCCGCACCGCGGCGGCAACCACGTCAACAAACGCCACCCGCCGCCACGACGACTTGCCGCGCGCGAGTTCGGCCAGCACGCTGTTGCACAGCTCGTTGCGAAGCTGTGACCGCCGCAGCGTCCGCATCGTCACCACCAGCGTGGTGGCTGCTGCTGCTCGCACCGCACTCGCCGTCCCAGAGCCTGTCAGCAGGCCCAGGAGCACCGGCGCAAAGTCGCCAAACACCACCTCGTGGTCGAAGAATCGCCCCACCACCGCCCACTGGCTCACCGTCTCGGCCCGCGCCCGCCACGCTAGCGCCGGCAGGCTCGCAAACGCCGCCAGCAGCACCGGCGCGTACGGCGCAAAGAACCGAATGTCGGCCGCAGGTGCGAGCGCGCACGCCTTGGCCCGCGTCCGCAGCGCCGTGTCCAGTCCCTCCAACAGGCGCGAGAGCCCGGCCGTGGCGGCGCCGGCCACCTCGGGCCTGCTGTCCGAGAGCAGCACAAGCGAGACGTCGCGCACCGCTCGCGCCATCGCCACGCTCGACTCGCTGCCCGGCGCCGCTCGGTCTGCAATGCACTCGCCTACCACCGGCAGTGCTCTTGCCAGCGTCGCTCGCACACACTCTTCCTCCGACTGGGTCAGCTTGTCGAGCACATTGCAAATAACAAGCCCGTGCTTGTGCACGCCGCCAAAGGTGGCAAAGACCGCCGGCGAGTTGAATGCCACCGCCAGCGGAACGAGCCCACGCGGCTCTACCGTGTACTCAAGCAGCGACGGGAGCGCGCGTCCGTCAATCGTCGGAGCCAGCAGCGAGCGCGCCGGCTGTAGCAGCGCCACGCCCGGATGATCGCCGAACGGCGGCCGCGCGCTCGCATAGTCCACAAAAGCGCGCACCAACGTCTGCCGCCCGCTCTCATCAAGCAGCGGTTCGAGCTGAACTCCAAACGGGCCGAGCAACCAAGCAAGCGAGAGCTCCAACGCCGGCGACGCGCTGGCATACATGTCAAGAATCGGGGCCAAGAGCGAGTTGGCCACTGCCGCCGACGGGAGAAAGCCGTTGCGGGTGAGCGCCGCCGCTGCATCAAGGCCGGCAGTCACCACCTCGTCGCGCTCGTCGTTGAGGAGCGAAGCAAGCTCCGGCACAACCGCAGCGACAGTGCGCGACGCGCCGAGCGCACGCCCGATCCGGTCCAGCTCGAGCGCCATCGCTCGCCGAACCTCGTGGTCGGTATCCTGACAGAGCAGAAGCGCACTCGCGGCAACGTCGTCGAGCACGCCACTTCCAACGCTCTTGCCAACCTCGCCCAGTCGCGCCACTACCGCTCCGTGCAGCCGGCAGCCGAGAATGCGGAGCTCCAGGTGCTGTGCCACCTCGACAGTGGCGGCGAGCGGCTCAACCAGCTGTTCCAGCGCGCTCGCAGGCAGCTTGCGCACTGCCGCCAGCAGCGAGAACGCCCAACGATTGGCAAGGCACTCGGTCTTGGACTCGATCAGGCTCAGCGCAAGCGGGAGGTAGTCCGAGACCAGATTGGCCTTTGGAAGCAGCCCGTTGTCAATGAGCGCGTCAAAGGCATCCACAACTGCGGCAGCGAGCTCTCTTGCCGCCAGTGCAGACTTTTGGCTCGCCGGCCGCCCAGCATCCGACGACAGCGCCGGCGGGGACCTCCCCCCACCGCCGCTGCTGCCGCTGCCGCTGCCGCCATCTCGCTCTGCAGAAGCGAGGAGAGCGGTGGGAGATCCGACTTTGCGATGTTCATCATGTGCGGGAGCACCTTTTCAACCAGTACCGGTCCCACATGCTGAACAAGCAGTGGGAGCTGAGCCAGGAGAGCCACCCGTTGCGGAACCGCCGCCGTCGGCGCTATCAGCACCAGCGCCCGCTCCTCCTCCGACAGCGAGTCCAGCACCGAGTACTCGGCAATCTCCGCCTCGGTCTGCACGCCCACCGCCACCACCATCACCACCACATATTGCGCATAGAATGAGTACGGGAGGTGGGGGGTGGTGGGGGGTTGGGGCCTGTTGGCCTCGGCCTGGCGGGCATTGTTGACCTAAGATACTTGATCTTGTCAAAGACCAAGAGAAAACGCGGGTTTTCGACCTAGGTCTGCTCGATCTCGCCGTGGGCCTCGAGGCTCTCGCAGGTCTCTTCTTCGAGTTGGAGCAGACCATGGTGGTGTCGAAGATCGCCGGTGCGGAGGGCAGGTCGCCAGAGATGACCAAATCTAGGAGGTTGGGGGGGGGGGGGCGGGTGTGTTCTTCCCCCTCTTGTCGGGTGCGGTGCGGCCAGACAGCCCACAGCCATCCTCTGTCAAGGGGGGGAGGGGGAAAGGGGGGAGGGAGGGAGGGAACATACTTTGAGGGACTCTTGGAGTGTGTCTATCTGCTCTACTAGGTCAAAGTCTAGAGACCATTCTGAAGGGTCCATGGTCGCCTGGCTAGCTAGCTGCTGCTGGCCCCTCGCCCTCCGCACCGCAGCCGACAGACAAGTAGTGCTCAGAATAGATGCAAGTGGGTGTTCACGCCGAGTCTGGAGAGAAGGAGGATGTGGATGCGTGTGTTATGGATAGCGATGAACAGATGGTGCGGGGAGTGGGGGAGGGGCGGAGGGGGAATGGGCGGAGGGGGAGGGGAGGGGAGCAGACATCACTTCTTGCTCTTCTTCTTGCCCTTGCCCTTGCCCTTGCCCTTGCCCTTGCCCTTGCCCTTGCCCTTGCCCTTGCCCTTGCCCTTGCCCTTCTTTGAGCCCTTCTTCGAGCCCTTACCCTTCTTCGAACCAGTATTCTTGCCCTTGCCCTTGTCCTTGCCCTTGCCCTTGTTCGACTTGTGCGAGACAGTCTTGCGCCGCAGCCGCCGCTCGACCGCCAGCACAATGTCGCCGTGGTCATCAAAGTAAGCACAGACCTGGACCTTCTTGTCCTTCGTCGCGAGCTTGGACTTGAACGCCAGTGCCATGTCATAGTCGAGATCTCCCTCACCAATGTGGTCAAGGAAGTGCTTTGCATCGTCCGGCCTCTACAGCTCGCGATCACCACCACACAGCATGAGTCCAGCCTGTTCCTCTCGCACACACTCACACACACTCTCATACACACACAAACCCACACACAGCTGCTCTATCTTCACCCCAGCCACGCGCCGCCCATCACATGTCCGTACCATGGGCACACCCGTCCCGAGCACAGCACCAGCATTCTCCAGGATCTCCTTGGAGACCTCTGTGGCGGGATGGTGGTCGTGAATGACGCCTGCCGAGGGAGTTGACGACGACGTGTCCTTGCTCTTGCCCTTGCCCTTGCCCTTGCCCTTGCCCTTCTTGCCCTTCTTGCTCTTGCCCTTCTTGCCCTTCTCGCTCTTCTTGCCCTTGCTTGCCTTGCCCTTGCTTGCCTTGCCCTTGCTTCCCTTGCCCTTGCTCGCCTTGCCCTTGCTCGCCTTGCCCCCCTTGTCCTTGCTCTTCTTACTCTTCTTGCTCGCTCCCATTCCTCCTCGGCAAGCGCAGTGTACTGCACTATGTACTGCACTGGTGGCTGTTCCCTCTGCTCCCGCTGACTCGCCGCAAACACGGAATGGCTGCGAACCGACTGGGAACCGCCGCGCCCGCCAACGAACAAACGAACAAACCAACCAAACGAACACACAGACACAACGCCAAGCCTGCGCACAATCACACCCTCACATCGTGTTTACTCCGCCATGCCAAACCCAACATACTCGACAGAGACATGGTCAGACTCGACAATTGTCACAACGTCGGTCGATGATGGCGGCGGCGCGGTCGGTGGCGGCGCCACAAGGCCAAACGCAGGCCCGCGGCCATAGTCGCCCGCCGGTGAGACGGCGGACATCACCGCTCCGCGCACTGGTGAGCGGAGAAAGGCTGTGGGTGACGGAAGCTTCGCGTTGAGCGTTGCCGCCACTGCCCGCTCGCTCCTCCGCTCGCGCGCAAGCGCTTCGTCCTTCTTCCGGATTTTGATCGCCCGCACCTTGGTGTGCATGGCGAGCGCGGGGTAGTACGGCGTCCCAGCATGCCGCGGCTTGTACCGCACGGACGTCTCGTACACGGTAGGAAACGGCGAGGCTGTGGAGTTGCACATGAGCTCAACCTCGTACACAGGGAGCACATGGTCATGCTCGCGCGAAATGAGGAACCCATTGTGCGCAAGAAACGAGAGGTTCGAGGGCACCACCGCGCACGCCAGTAGCATGCATGTCAGCCGTCCATCGCGCTGATATCTTGGCGCATAGGCCATGGAGATCTCCGCGCGCGAGCCCATGTACACGCCTTTGCCGTGCGCACGGCCATGAGCGACCCTCACGCCGCGGGTCCCGCCCATGCACAGCCCCTTGTCGTAGATGCTCTGCAGGTTATTTGGGTTTGTACCATGCCACGCAAACCGGACCGTGTTCGTTGTCTTGAGGTTGAGAATAAACTTGCGAAACGCCGCCCTTGAGATTGGCGTCTCTTTGACGTGCACCACCTTGGCGCTCGAGGTCATCACCCGGTGCAGCACTGCCTTCCGCAGCATTCGAATTGCCGAGTCGGAAACCGGGTCGTCCTTGTGCTTGGCCTCCTCCACAATGACGCTTTCCAGCGAGTCACGACTGTTGGCATGCGCTGCCGCTGCCGCCATCTCCCGCAGCGCCTTGCGCAGCTCAATCCTTCCCTCGGCAGCCTCCTCCTTCGAGTCGGCCCACTGCAAGTCCTGGTCACTGGTCGAGCCCTCGGTATTAAGAATCTGGGACCCGATGCCCTCGTTCCCTAGCGAGACGCCGCCTAGCAGCCGCGGCGCGATTCTCCCGCTGTAACCGCGGGCGAGCTTGCCCCGCCGCCGCCGCCCGTTCCATCGCTCCAGTGCCTCCCACTCGGCGTACTTGCCATCGCCGTAGTCATGTACCTCATCGCTGCCATCTTCGCCCTCTGACTCCTCGCCTACGCACTCTGCTGCCTCGGCCACGCCCTCGACTGTCTCGGCCTCGCACGCAACCAGGTTGTCAGGCACGTCGAGCCCAGCCTCGGCAGCCTCAGAGGCAGACAGTGCCAGTACCAGCGCCAGCTCGTCGTCGACGCCGCTTGGTGGCGCAGCAGCAAGGAATGTTCCCAGGTTCAGCACTTGGCCCCGCGGCATGACTGGCTCTTCTATGTTACTGGTAGAGAGGTACAGGCCCTAATACGGGAGTGAGGCTGGCAGGTTGGGCGGCACAGAGACCGTTGGCCTTTTGTGACGGACGACTGCTTCTTCTGCCGGCACTCTGCCAATTTTCTATTTCGTTCCAAACACCTCGGCAGCCAAAGCCACGGCTGCAACACGACTACAACATGGCTACGACACGGCTGCGGGGGCCATCCGTAGTCCTGACATGCCATGTGATGAAGGTTGAGTCCGCCAGTGCCGATCACACTCTCTTTCGGGACCCAGCTAGGCTGCGTCGTCATCCTCGCCTCCGGCCGCAGTTCCGGACGCAAGCGGATCGATGGCCTCGGCCATGACCTCGGGGTTGCCCTCGATGGCCACTGATGCGACGTTTGGGAGCACGCCGTCGCCGATGGCGACGTGGCCGGCGTCGTCGTGCGGGGCGCGGTGCGAGAGCCATGAGACAAACGAGTTCCAGCCGAGTGAGACCATGTTGACAAAGAGGACCCGGAACTGGGGTGGGACAAAGGTAAAGTTGATGGCCTGCGCCGCCGGCCACACTACGTAATTGCCCTTGAGCATGACGAGCCAGTTTTCGTTCATCAGCTCGAGCGCGGTGTCGAACGACTTGCCCTCGAGCACCGGCTGCGTCAACCAGAACAGCGTGATCAGCGCCGGCGGCATGACCGCCTGATCCACCGCCACCGCAGCCACTGTGCCCTTCATTCCTCCGCCCACCCTAGCTGCGATGTTGCCGAGAAACCCGAACCACGGATGGAGCATCGGCCCGAGGACTGATCCGAAGAACACAAACGATCCGGTCCGCCTCAGATGCAGCTCATCGTTGCCCTCCACCACTGCATCCCTGCATGTGAGTCGACGAGCCACTACCATGCATATGTTTCTCTCTCTCTCTCTCTCTGCCTTGCCCGTACCCTTCTGCGCAAACACATCGCCGGCGCCCATGAGTGCCGCCGACGTCACGCCCTTGGTCACCAGCGGGCGGCTCTCGAGCATGCCGGCGTACCAGCCGAAAGCGCGACGAAACATACCCGAGTCTCACTCAGCGGCAATGTAGTACAGTGGCGGTGCGAGAGGTGTGGTTGTGGCTGGTCTCGTTGCCGTGGTCGTCGCCGGGAGCTATGCTGGTGCCGACCGTGGCGGTGGTGGCGCGAGTGACGCGCCGTCTGGCTCTCATCCGCCCCAAGTGCCCCCAACAACCAGCAGCAGCCCCATCACCAGCCCTGTCACCTCTCCCGCCGCCACCGTTACCACCAGCTCGCACAAGCTCTTCTCACGCTCAACCGATGCCCACTCGGTATCAATCTCTCGTCACGCTTCCCCCGATCGCCATCGTGTCCTCACTCTCCCTCCCTCCACACCGCGCACTCACACTCCACCTTCCACTCCACATACCCCTTCACACAAGCACGCAAATACATGCACCGTCCTACCCACAGCCAGCCAACATCTCAATCACCTTGCGCACCCATCTATCTCCGACCCGATCTCCCTTTCCGGCTTTGAACACCAAACCTCACACCGTCCACCCCTCCTCCCACTCCCTCTCCCTCTCCCCCCTCGACCACACCTGTCGCCACCCCACCCCACCACCCACCACCCACCACCCACCACCCACCACACCCTCCCACACCCTCCACACATCCCACCATGGCCAGTGATCAGTACCTGTCCATAGTGGAGGCTGACCTCAAAGAGTTTGTAGCTTCCATCGACGACGACGAGTTCAAGCTGTCCAACCCAGGTACGCCGCCCCCCCCCCCACCCCTTCCCCCCCGTTCCCCCTGCTTCCATTTCCCCCCTTCCCCCCACC